AAATGCGGACGAAGATTTGCGGACGAAGATTTGCGGGGACGAAGATTTGCGGACGAAGATATGCGCAGAAGAAGATTTGCGTGGACGAAGAAATGCGGACGAAGATTTGCGTAGACGAAGAAATGCGTGGACGAAAAAATGCTTGACGAAGAAATGCGCGTACGAAGAAATGCGGATACGAAAAAATGCGCTACGAATATTTGCGCTTACGAAGAAATGCGAGACGAAGTTATGCGACACGAATAAATGCGCCGACGAAGATTTGCGGACGAAGAAATGCGGACGAGGAATTGCGCGACGAAGAATTGCCATACGAAGATTTGTCCGGTTACGTGATATATGCACCCAGGGTATATTGAGTGAAGGGTATTGTTATAGCAGGCGTCTCACATGCTGCCACCGGTTTGGGAAAAGTCGCTAGATTCGTCAGGTCTAGAGATATTTCTACCAAGTCGCTATATAGGGTAATCACATAGCGGTGATTTCAAAAACGGAGTCAGTTTTTTTCTGAGCTGGCGGGGGGGGCGTTTGGGGGGGATTGCCCCCCTTGCGGATAGCTCGGGAACGGCTGATCGGAGCCAGGCTTGCAAGGCGGCGTTGGAAAGCGGTCGAGTAGACAAGCCTAATAAGTAAATCAAACTATCATCGGGATACTGGGGGGGCGTAGGGGGGATTGCCCCCCCCCCCTTGCCGATAGCTCGGGAACGGCTGATCGGATCCAGGCTTGCAAGGCGGCGTTGGAAAGCGGTCGAGTAGACAAGCCTAATTAGTAATGCAAACTATCATCGGGATACTGGGGGGGGGGGCGTAGGGGGGATTGCCCCCTTGCCGATAGCTCGGGAACGGCTGATCGGAGCCAGGCTTGCAAGGCGGCGTTGGAAAGCGGTCGAGTAGACAAGCCTAATTAGTAATGCAAACTATCATCGGGATACTGGGGGGGGGCGTAGGGGGGGATCGCCCCCCTTGCCCATAGCTCGGGAACGGCTGATCGGAGCCAGGCTTGCAAGGCGGCGTTGGAAAGCGGTCGAGTAGACAAGCCTAATTAGTAATGCAAACTTTCATCGGGATACTGGGGGGGGGGGGCGTAGGGGGATTGCCCCCTTGCCGATAGCTCGGGAACGGCTGATCGGAGCCAGGCTTGCAAGGCGGCGTTGGAAAGCGGTCGAGTAGACAAGCCTAATCAGTAATGCAAACTATCATCGGGATGCTGGGGGGGGGGCGTAGGGGGGATTGCCCCCTTGCCGATAGCTCGGGAACGGCTGATCGGAGCCAGGCTTGCAAGGCGGCGTTGGAAAGCGGTCGAGTAGACAAGCCTAATTAGTAATGCAAACTATCATTGGGATACTGGGGGGGGGGCGTACGGGGGGATTTCCCCCCTTGCCGATAGCTGGGGAACGGCTGATCGGAGCCAGGCTTGCAAGGCGGCGTTGGAAAGCGGTCGAGTAGACAAGCCTAATTAGTAATGCAAACTTTCATCGGGATACTGGGGGGGGCGTAGGGGGGAGGGATTGCCCCCTTGCCGGAACGAGCTATCGGCAAGGGGGGCAATCCCCCCTACGCCCCCCCCCAGTATCCCGATGATAGTTTGCATTACTAATTAGGCTTGTCTACTCGACCGCTTTCCAACGCCGCCTTGCAAGCCCAGTGTCCCAAAATTACAATTTGATTTGGGTGTCAGAGTGGAAAATTCGAACCCTTAAAGGCCAATAAGAGTGGAAAATTAGAAACAAAATGTGGGATATTATAAGGCTGGGGGGATCCGTGATGTGCGTGAAGTTGGCGTCGGATTCGGATTCGTATTCAGCGTCGAGTACCGAATCACTTGAAAACGTCATATCTGGTCAATTCGGGGACGGGGAGCACGAATATGACATTAATTTTGCCCTAGCAGGTATCCCTTATCCCTTAATCGTCCCTTAAACGACGGGGCGCGCCAAAAGTGCCTCAGGGGCTCTTCCGATCACGAAAATAATGGTCCCAGGCGATTCCCCGGGTCGATATCTAGCCGCACCACCACTAACTTCACACGTGCCTCATATCCCTTATCCCTTAATCGTCCCTTAAATGACGGGGCGCGCCAAAAGTGCCTCAGGGGTTCTTCCGATCGCGAAAATAATGGTCCCAGGCAATTCCCCGGGTCGATATCTAGCCGCACCACCACTAACTTCACACGTGCCTCACATCCCTCATCCCTTAATCGTCCCTTAAACGACGGGGCGCGCCAAAAGTGCCTCAGGGGTTCTTCTGATCGCGAAAATAATGGTCCCAGGCGATTCCCCGGGTCGATATCTAGCCGCACCACCACTAACTTCACACGTGCCTCACATCCCTCATCCCTTAATCGTCCCTTAAACGACGGGGCGCGCCAAAAGTGCCTCAGGGGTTCTTCTGATCGCGAAAATAATGGTCCCAGGCGATTCCCCGGGTCGATATCTAGCCGCACCACCACTAACTTCACACGTGCCTCATATCCCTCATCCCTTAATCGTCCCTTAAACGACGGGGCGCGCCAAAAGTGCCTCAGGGGTTCTTCCGATCGCGAAAAGAATGGTCCCAGGCGATTCCCCGGGTCGATATCTAGCCGCACCACCACTAACTTCACACGTGCCTCATATCCCTTATCCCTTAATCGTCCCTTAAATGACGGGGCGCGCCAAAAGTGCCTCAGGGGTTCTTCCGATCGCGAAAATAATGGTCCCAGGCAATTCCCCGGGTCGATATCTAGCCGCACCACCACTAACTTCACACGTGCCTCACATCCCTCATCCCTTAATCGTCCCTTAAACGACGGGGCGCGCCAAAAGTGCCTCAGGGGTTCTTCCGATCGCGAAAATAATGGTCCCAGGCAATTCCCCGGGTCGATATCTAGCCGCACCACCACTAACTTCACACGTGCCTCACATCCCTCATCCCTTAATCGTCCCTTAAACGACGGGGCGCGCCAAAAGTGTCTCAGGGGTTCTTCTGATCGCGAAAATAATGGTCCCAGGCGATTCCCCGGGTCGATATCTAGCCGCACCACCACTAACTTCACACGTGCCTCATATCCCTCATCCCTTAATCGTCCCTTAAATGACGGGGCGCGCCAAAAGTGCCTCAGGGGTTCTTCCGATCGCGAAAAGAATGGTCCCAGGCGATTCCCCGGGTCGATATCTAGCCGCACCACCACTAACTTCACACGTGCCTCATATCCCTTATCCCTTAATCGTCCCTTAAATGACGGGGCGCGCCAAAAGTGTCTCAGGGGTTCTTCTGATCGCGAAAATAATGGTCCCAGGCGATTCCCCGGGTCGATATCTAGCCGCACCACCACTAACTTCACACGTGCCTCATATCCCTCATCCCTTAATCGTCCCTTAAATGACGGGGCGCGCCAAAAGTGTCTCAGGGGTTCTTCCGATCGCGAAAATAATGGTCCCAGCCGCTTCCCCGGGTCGATATCTTGCCGCACCACCACTAACTACACACGTGCCTCACATCCCTCATCCCTTAATCGTCCCTTAAATGACGGGGCGCGCCAAAAGTGCCTCAGGGGTTGTTCCGATCGCGAAAAGAATGGTCCCAGTTGATTCCCCGGGTCGATATCTAGCCGCACCACCACTAACTTCACACGTGCCTCACATCCCTTATCCCTTAATCGTCCCTTAAATGACGGGGCGCGCCAAAAGTGCCTCAGGGGTTCTTCCGATCGCGAAAATAATGGTCCCATGTGATTCCCCGGGTCGATATCTAGCCGCACCACCACTAACTTCACCCGTGCCTCGCATCCCTTAACCCTTAATCGTCCCTTAAACGACTTCCCAAAAGGAAACATGAGCGTCACATGCATAGGTACATGTATTACACATTTTGTCACGCAATTGGTTTTACAAACTACACATGTCGGTCCCCGCCGAACTTCAGGCGGCTTCATCCATCCGTGCGGAACGCGCACTGGCCGCGTCGGTCCGCGCCAAACGCGCGCCGGCTGCGTCGAACCGGCGCGGGATGCGTTGAACCGGCGCCTGTCGCGTCGGTCCCCGCGGAACGCGCACCGACCGCGTCGGTCTGCGCCGAACGCACGCCGGCTGCGTTTTTCTGCGCCGAACTCACGCCGGCCGCGTCGGTCCCCGCGGAACGCGCGCTGGCCGCGTCGGTCTGCGCCGAACGCGTGTCGGCCGCATCGGTTCGCGCTGAACGCGCGCCGGCCGCGTCGGTCCCCGCCAAACGCGCGCCGGCTGCGTCGAACCGGTTCCGGCTCCGTCGGTCCCGTCAATTGTGCGCCGGCTGCGCAGGTCCCCGCGCGGCTGCATCGGTCTGAGTCGAGTTGTGGCGGCGTGCCACGGCAGCGAGCAGACAGGCAATGGCTGACAGGCCGGTCACCATCGTTCAGAAGTGTCATGGCTGGTGCTGGAAGGAGAAGACAGGGTACGAGTATTAACAGGGGTACGAGTCTGACAGGGTACGACAGGGTACGAGTCTGATTCCAAGCAAACAAACAAAAAGAAGAGAAAAAGAACCGACATAGACGGCAAAGAGCGGCACAGAACATGAGATCAAACGCCGTTTCGCACTTGTTACGACCTAAAATAAAGTTATCTTTGCTTAATACGACGACACTCACATACTAGCATACCTTTTCATCTGTTGCCCAATCTCGTACGACTTCAAGACGAGGGAGAACCCGACGTGGACTGCGAGTACTCGTCGTTGGCGGAATGAAGATGCTCTTCATACATCCTCCGTCTCGTGCCTAAAAGCACACATTAGTGTCATACATACGGCCATAGATATTAGACATGCGACAGATACTTCTGTGGAAAGAAGACACTGCGCATACGACAGTACGAGTTGCAAACGCACCGCACTCGTGTATTAAAAACATCATAGTATGTAAAACATTATTTACACCAGTTAACAAGATAATAAAACGGGCGTCCCAATTAATATTGATGCTGCTATTAATTTGCCTAACAAGTTATTGTTTTAGGTGTGACAAATCTAGTCTAATTGTTTGAACCGGCGCTGGATGCGTCGAACCGGCGCCTGTCGCGTCGGTCCCCGCGGAACGCGCACCGACCGCGTCGGTCTGCGCCGAACGCACGCCGGCTGCGTTTTTCTGCGCCGAACTCACGCCGGCCGCGTCGGTCCCCGCGGAACGCGCGCTGGCCGCGTCGGTCTGCGCCGAACGCGTGTCGGCCGCATCGGTTCGCGCTGAACGCGCGCCGGCCGCGTCGGTCCCCGCCAAACGCGCGCCGGCTGCGTCGAACCGGTTCCGGTTCCGTCGGTCCCGTCAATTGTGCGCCGGCTGCGCCGGTCCCCGCGCGGCTGAATCGGTCTGAGTCGAGTTGTGGCGGCGTGCCACGGCAGCGAGCAGACAGGCAATGGCTGACAGGCCGGTCACCATCGTTCAGAAGTGTCATGGCTGGTGCTGGAAGGAGAAGACAGGGTACGAGTATTAACAGGGGTACGAGTCTGACAGGGTACGACAGGGTACGAGTCTGATTCCAAGCAAACAAACAAAAAGAAGAGAAAAAGAACCGACACAGACGGCAAAGAGCGGCACAGAACATGAGATCAAACGCCGTTTCGCACTTGTTACGACCTAAAACAAAGTTATCTTTGCTTAATACGACGACACTCACATACTAGCATACCTTTTCATCTGTTGCCCAATCTCGTACGACTTCAAGACGAGGGAGAACCCGACGTGGACTGCGAGTACTCGTCGTTGACGGAATGAAGATGCTCTTCATACATCCTCCGTCTTGTGCCTAAAAGCACACATTAGTGTCATATATACGGCCATAGGTATTAGACATGCGACAGATATTTTTGTGGAAAGAAGACACTGCGCATACGACAGTACGAGTTACAAACGCACCGCACTCGTGTATTAAAAACATCAAAATATGTAAAACATTATTTACACCAGTTAACAAGATAATAAAACGGGTGTCCCAATTAATATTGATACTGCTATTAATTTACCTAACAAGTTATTGTTTTAGGTGTGACAAATCTAGTCAAATTGTAATAGTTTGTTGCGGATGAAGTCACGGACACCTTATGTAATTGTTGGAAAGGTATTAAAACGTAATGGTATCTGCAGAAATGTCTTACCGTTTTCAGTCGTGTTTTGATGTTTTGCCTCCATCTTCGTATGTATCGTAACTGGGCCGTTTCATCTTGTGGTACATCCATTGGTGTTTGGTTACACAGTGCGTCGGCTCGGGCGCACACAAATACTCCACAGGACGATCCGTCCACTTGGCGCACCTGTTTGGGGTAGATCACTCTCCATCCAGTCCATGTCATGGCTCCTTGGCACGCTATTATCAGTACCATGAGGTCTTCGATTGCTTCTTTTGCTGGCTTTGGAGGTATCAAGGAATCAAAATACATCACTCGCTTTGCCCAGGGGTACACGACAAAAAGTACCCAGTGTCGCTGTCGATTGTACGTAATTGTATTGTACGGGACAAGCCACGCGTGCGATGCAAAAACATTTCCGTATCGCTCTTGAATGAGCGCGGTGTGCGACCGCGATGTGCATACATGCGCCATCTTTGGGAGCGTGTGCACGCTGAACGTTGCGACAGTTTCTGACGATTCTTGTGCTGCCAGCAGTAGGTACGCGTCAATCACTGCATCGTCAAGCCATTCTCGGCCTTCGAGTGTCGTAAAGCTGGCGCTGTCGACTAGAATGTCTCCGATTTCCTTGGTCTTTTCAATCATTGTTCTGTCTCCGAAATCGTCTGTCTCCGTGTCCTTTGTTGATTCTTCTCCGCATGGATTCGATTGTTGCTGGTCAGCCTTCGGCCGTTTCTTTTCTTGCTCCACATCTAGGTCATCTTCATCACTGCCTTCCGGATTTTTCCTCTTGTTCTTCTCGCCTTGCCGCTGTTTTTGGTTCCCGTGTCCTTGTTTGTCGTTGCGAACCTCATTCAATCTTACGAATGATGGCGGCGCTTTCTGCATGCGATATGGTTTTGCTTTTGGGTTCCTTTTCAGCCATTTTTCCTTTGCTCCATACGGGCATTCATTCATTTGTCCCTCTTTGGCTCTTTTCCCACCAGTTGGCTTGCCCTGTTTCGTCCCTCTCATTCTGTCTATAATGATGTCATCTTTCACTCTGGCTGAAAGATCTGTGAGTAGTAGTCGGAGGAAATCTCCGGCCAGCATGCCAGTTCTTGACCGCAGGAGGTTTTTCTTCAAGGTCTTAAAAAAACTTTCCACGCGAGCATTTGACGGCAGACAGTGGTTCGGAGTTTGGATGCCTGTCCAAAGTGGAAGGAGCGGCATGTATGTGGTTTGCAAGTGTTTGACGACATCGGGTGCATGGAACGGATTGGTGATGCTCACATCCAGGTCGATGGTCCGTCTCACCTCGGCTTCTATACTCTTGAAGTGTAGACCGAAAGGCGTTGAGTCCCTTAGAGCTCCACCTTCTGGTGGCTCGCTTCCATCCACTTCTGAGTCTTCTTCTGTTACACTGTCGCTGTGTTTCTTTGCTTCATCTGCAAGGTCATCCACAGTTGCATGCGACAGTGCAAGCCGACACAGGTCTCTGAAGGTCAGCGTCGCTTCCTCGAGCGTTGTTGATGCGGCCAGTTTTGAAAGGAGCCACATGTATCCTTTTCGAACATCCTTTCTTTTCACGTGTTGCTTCAGTAGTGATGAAAAGTTCTTTGTGATGTGTGCTGTGCACATGGCAAGGCACGTAGCGTTTTTTCCTTCTGACGGTGCGTCTTTGTGGTTGGCAGCCCCGTCCCAGCTTTTCTGCAGGTAGTCACGAATGTTTGATCGACAAAATGCGGTAAGTGATGAATGTAGCAGCGCCCAGCTGTAATCACTGACAACCATCGTTGGCACCAAGGGCACACCGTGAAGTGTCTTAAAGGCCTCGCAGAGTCGACTCAAGAAATACGAAATCGTTGACGTCGAGTGGGCATTCGACAACATAACAGCCAGCGGATAGCTCTTGACCGGATCCTCAGCAATCAAAGCATAGCAGTAGACAGGCTTTCCTCCAATGTTTCGAACAACCGACCCGGTAGCATCCAGATGTAGAGTGGTTTGCTTCTTTCTATACTTCTTCAACATGTGCTCCTTGTAGACATGCACACAGAATGGTTCCGCAGAAAGAGCATGAATGTCGCCTGTTATGATCTTAGATGCTGTGTCAGACGACTTAGATGCCTTCATTGTGAGAAGTACGTCATGAAACTGATCAGCGCTAAAACGTCCGACATCCAATGTCTCGGCTGCAGCCTTTCTCAGCACCTCCAAACTCGGAACTCGCGTGAAATCCCCTTCTTTCAGGTGGTCTTCGGAAGCTTCAATCAGCATATCCTTCCTGACGTTGTATGCACCAACTCGCACGGTGGCTTCGGCAGCTTTAGCTCTGGCAGTGCCTTTCAGTGGCCTTCTTCCCGGAGATCCCTCGTGATCAGGGGTTCCATGACGAGTGATATGGAATGTCAGCTCTTCGCTGGGATCAACTGGCACTTCTTTTACAACAATTCGAAGACAGCAACCACAGTCAGTCCTTTTGCATCTGCCGTAAATCCTTACGTAGTTTCCTTCTTTTCTTCCTTTCTTGTGTGGTTTCACAGATGAATGCTTGAACACCCATGTACAGTGTGGCACTACGATGTCCTCCAACTTCTCTACCATGCGGTCTGTCCAACCTACCTTCAGTTTGTTGCCGTCTTGGTTCAAAAACTGGCACCATTCATCGACTGGCATCTTCATTGTGTAGCTGGATGAAGACACAGCACCATCTTCTTTTCCATTACAATCACTGTTTCTACCATCAACAGATCCTTGGTCACTGTTGTAGCTGGTGAAAGCCGATCCAGCCAAGGATCCGTCGCTGCCATCTTCTGTTCTGCCAACATTGTTCCATTCAAATGCATCGTCACAACTGTAGTCTAGACTTGTTGGTAGCGCGGTCGAGTTTTGTTCGCCAGAGCTAAGAGGGTCCACTTCTCCGTCTACATCTGCCGAGCTGGACTCCTCTTCCCAACACTTTGAGGCGATCCCCGTTTCTTGGGTGGGACTTTTGGGCGGGCTTGTTTCCTCCCTGTTTCCTTGGCATGCACGCAGCTCCACTTCCATTTCTACAGAAAACTCAGGACGACTTCTATAGGACATAGCATCTTCTGTTCTGTCAACATTGTTCCATTCAAATGCATCGTCACAACTGTAGTCTAGACTTGTTGGTAGCGCGGTCGAGTTTTGTTCGCCAGAGCTAGGAGGGTCCACTTCTCCGTCTACCTCTGCCGAGCTGGACTCTTCTTCCCAACACTTTGAGGCGATCCCCGTTTCTTGGGTGGGACTTTTGGGCGGGCTTGTTTCCTCCCTGTTTCCTTTGCATGCACGCAGCTCCACTTCCATTTCTACAGCAAACTCAGGACGACTTATGTAGGACTTATATAGACGCCGTGCCAGCTTTTGCACTCTTCTGCGTCGCCCACCTCCTCGCGAGGGCAGTACATCACTTAGACAGGCAATCCAAAAAGTCATGGCCGTCGGAGGAATGTTCAAGGTACGAAGAACCGACCGAAATGTCTGGAACAAAACCAGAAGAAAGGATCGATTAGTGGGGACACGGACTTCGCTATATATGGACTGTGCGCTGTTTTGACCGAGCCGACATTGGGTGGCCGACCAGCTGGAAGCGGTGGGTTGGGTCCCGCTCAACAGCGGAGAACCGACCTTTGCGAGTTACCGCTCCGGTGCTCAGACGGCCCCGGACCTCGCCGCGTAGTGTCCCCCCTGGCCCGCAGGACGGTGTGGTCCCTCGGCCCTGACCTCGGGAGCGATCATCTTCCCATGGTGGTGGAGGTGCGGTCTGAGACGGCGCCCCTAGGAAGATCCGCAAGACCAAGTAGGCGTACCACAAGGCGGAGTGGCAGGCGTTCGCGGCCGACTGCGAGCGGTCGCTGGCCGAACTGGAGCCGGACCTGACGACTCAGGTACTGGCGGACCGGTTTGAGCCGACACTGCAGCGGGCTGCGGTACGCCACATTCCGAGAGGCGCCAGAGCGGACCCTCGTCCGTGGGCCCTGGACCTTGACCTCCAGGAGGCGATCGCGGAACGGCGCGCGGCGCGCGCGGCCCTGCGCGAGGGTGACTCTCAGTCGCGGGTGCGCTGGATCGCGGCCAAGCGGCGCGCAGCCGAACTAGAGAAGAAGGCAACCATCACGCACTTCAATGACTTCGTCTCCACCACCTTGAACCAACCAGCCAACGTCGGCAGGGTACACAAGACACTGAAGAAGTGGGAGCGTTGCTGTGCTAATGAATTCAGGGACGGCCAGGCCATGCTCAGGGGAGACCGCCTCATCATCACCGACCGCGACAAGGCAGAGGCCTTCGTTCAGGAGTATGCGAGGGTCTCGAGGCAGGTGCGCACACCGATCTCTCAATCCCTTCGGCATGCGAGACATGGTCAAGGAGATCAGTGGACTCCAGCTGAAGAAGGCCCGGACCAGACCTACTACGGCCAGACGGCATCTCGAACGAGATGCTCCGGCATCTAGGACCGGAGGCACGCAAGGTCCTGCTGACTCTCAGCAACCTGTTTTGGAAGACCGGAGAGGTCCCCAGGCAGTGGCGGAAAGCGACGGTGGTCCCCATCCCCAAGTCGGGGAAGGATAAGCGCCTTACCGAGAGCTACCGCCCCATCGCTCTGACCTCACATGCCGGCAAGTTGGCTGAGCTACTCATCAAGCGCCGTCTCACCATCCTGTCCGAGTCCCGCGGACTGGTCCCCCCGGAGCAGGTCGGCTTCCGAGCTGGCCGTTCGGTTGAGGACAACGTCGGCAGACTCTTTCAGGAGGTCCAGGACGGGTGGAACCGGCCCAGGTCCAGACGAGTGAACCCACCAGAAGGCACCACCGCCCAGAAGTTCGTGCTGGTCGCGTACGACTTTGCGCGCGCCTATGACGTGGTGGACCATCGCCTCCTCCGTCTGAGACTGTTGGAGCTGGGACTCCCGCGCTGCATGGTGCGGTGGACATGGCAGTGGCTCCGAGACCGGAGAGTCGTCGTCGAGGTGAACGGAGCGAAGAGTCGCGAACGGGTGTTTTGGGCAGGATTACTGCAAGGTAGCGTCCTGTCCCCGCTCTTTTTCTTGCTGTGGGCGGCACCCCTCGCACACTCTCTCAAGTTCATCCCAGGATGTACACCGTACATGTATGCCGATGACACCGCTACCCTGTGCGCGGGCGCGAACATCTAGACGGCCAGACACCGAGCCCAGCAAGCCGCCGACAAGCTGTCGGAGTGGGCTAGGACCTCGAAGATGGATGCCTCGGGAGAGAAAACTTAAGTCCAGGTGCTCTCACAGTGGCCAAAGGACGCGGTGGACGTGTCCATCAGGGTGGCCGGAGCAAGAGTCGAGGCCAGCGAGACACTCAACCTGTTCGGAGTCACGCTGGAACGCCTCCTCCACTTCGGCCCCCACTGCAAGAGGATGAGAAGACGGACCCGACCGAGACTTGAGCACCTGAGGAGACTGACGGGCAGAGACTGGGGGGCTAGAAGAGCGGCAACTCCGCATCGTGGCCAAGGGCTACATCAGAGGCGCGCTGGAGCACGCCGCGGCAGCGTGGCTGCCGGCCGCGTGGCTGCCGGCCGCGTCCCCCTCCCACGTGGAAGTGTTGGAGAGGAAGATGAGGGAGGCCGCCCGCGTCATAACGGGCTGCACGCGATCAGCCTCCACCGAAGCCCTGATGGCGGAGGCAGGACTGGCTCCGGTAACGGCCCGGAGAACCAATCTGGCGGCGGGATTCCTCGCGAAGGCGAGAGCCCTCCCAAAAGAGGACCCTCTACGCCGAGTGGCGGACGCGCACGTCAACCCACGTCTGAAGACGATGACGGGCTGGCGCACGGTCGGTCTGGAGGAGTGGCACGTGGCAGGTGTCGACGCCCCGATCGAACTGTTGCTGCCGCCCAGCGCCGCTCCGAGGGAGGCCCCCCCCCCGGTAGTCTTTGACCTGGGGATAGGAGCCGCCACCCCCGCCGGAGACTCGCCGACAGGCGGCCGCCCTCCACCTGGCGTCCCTCCCCCAGTGCGCGACCTGGGGCTGGACGAACGGATCCGCCACAGGAGGCGTGCTGGATGGTGGAGCGGGCGGCTTCATAGAGTGGCCTGATGGCGAGACGCACGAGCTCCGCGCACCAGCGGGCAGACTCTGCTCGAGCTACCGAGCGAAGATGGTGGCACTCCGCGAGACGCTGAGCTACGTCCAGGAACACCCGGCTCATGAAGAAGACCCAGTTATAATTTGTACCGACTCGCAAGCGGCTCTGTCTGCCCTACGGAGTGGCCCGGCTGAGCCGACCTCGCAGCTCAACCAAGCTGTCTGGAAGGCTCTTGCCTTGGTAGCCGACCACGGAGAGCGGCAAGTGCGCCTACAATGGGTCCCGTCGCACTGTGGACTGCCAGGGAACGAAATGGCCGCAAGCAAGCCAAGGAGGCGGCATCTCTCCCCCAAGAAAAAGTCCCGGTAGACATGCGCACTGTGTACAGAGCGGCAGCGCGAGCGGCGGACACTCGCACAAGGGAGCGCCGGCCCCCCGGATGGGTACAGCGCGCCCTCCCGCAGTGACTGGCCTGG